ATCACTAACGGGTCTCGATCTTGTCTTTGGAGTTCAGTGGCTGGAAAAATTAGGGGCTGTGGTTTGCGATTGGAGTCAAATGACCATGGAGTTCAAGTGGGACGGTTGGCTTCAATAGTTGCACAGTGTCGATGCTCCGCCCATCTAGATTGCCTCGGTAGAGGAAGTTACCAAAGAAACTCACCGAAAGACCTCCACGTTTTCCATCTGTGTCTTGGTCCACCCAAAAATACATACCCTCTTGAACAGTTACCAAAACCTTTTCAAGGAGCCTAACCAACTACCACCCAACCGAAAAATTAACCATCATATCAACTTGAAAGATGGGGTAGAACCGATCAACATTCGGCCTTATAGGTATACTTATTTTCAAAAATTAAAAATTGAAAATTAGGTTAATGAGATGCTCAATTCTGGGTTGATTAGACCAAGCACCAACCCCTTCTCCTCACCAGTGCTACTAGTAAGAAAAAGGATGGGACTTGGAGATTTTGCACAAATTATCAGGAACTCAATTTGGTCACCATTAAGGACCGATTTTCCATCCCAACAATCAACGATATGTTAAATGAACATCACAGGGCTACTTTCTTCACTAAGCTTGATCTTACGACGAGATACCACCAAATGAGAGTTCATCCACCAGATGTTCATAAGACGGTCTTTCGCAATCATGACGGCCACTATGAATATCTAGTCATGTCGTTTGATTTTTATAATGCTCCTTCCACCTTCTAAACAATGATGAACAACATATTTCAACAGTATCTCTATAAGTTTGTTCTAGTTTTTTTCGATGATATTCTCATCTACAATCCAAGCTGCACTTTGTACCTTGATCACGTTAAATAAGTTATTGACATCCTATGGCAGCACCAGTTCTTCATTAAGCTCAAGAAATGTGTCTTTGGGCAGTAAGAACTTGAATACTTAGGACACATCACACCTCAAGGAGTCAAGGTTGATCAAAATAAGATTCAATCAATACTCCATTAGCTGCCTCACAACAACATCACAGAGTTAAGAGGTTTTTTGGGCTTAATTGACTATTACCAAAAATCTGTCCACTAATATGGGATCCTAGCTAGACCTTTGACCACTTTACTGAAGAAGGGACAATTTGGGTGGACTGAGGAAGCAGAAGAGGCCTTTAAAAATCTCAAGCAAGCTTTGACAACTACTCCTACCTTAACTTTAGCAAATTTTGAAAAACAATTTGTGATTGAAACAGATACTTCAAGTGATAGTATAGGTGTTGTTCTCACTCAAAAGGGGCAGCCCATAGCCTACATGAGCCATGATCTAATAGTTGTCAAGCAAGCCTGGTCAACATACGTTAAGGAAATGCTTACCATTGTGGTTGCCACCAAATTCTGGAGTCCATATTTAATGGGCAGGAAGTTCTTCATTCATACTGACTAGAAAAGTTTAAGACATTTCCTAGATGAGTGGATTACAACTCCGGAGTAGCAGAAGTGGCTTTCAAAATTATTTGGCTACCATTATGAAGTTGTCTACAAACCCGAGAAAAAATATTCAGCCGCTGACGCACTCTCCCGTAAAGCAAGCAATCTAACTTTATAGGTCATTTCCATTCCCGAAAACAACCTATGGGATATCACTAAGGACGCTTCAGCTCATCATCCATACATGTAGACAGTGAAAAAGTTAGCAACTAATAAACTAGAGAGCCCTTTTTCATGGAAAAATGGATTTAACTACTTTAGAAATCGCACTGTCATTCCTCCAAAATCTAAGATTTCATAACAATTGCTGCAAGAATTTCACTCTTCCCTCGCCGAGGGCCATTCAGGTATTCAAAGAACTTATAAATGCTTAACACAACAATTTTATTGGCCAGCCATTCATCAAGAAGTTAAAAAATAAGTATTAGCTTGCGATATATGTCAATAGGTCAAAGGCGGTACACTATCTCTTGCAGGTCTTCTACAGCCACTGCCTATTCCATGCCAAGTATGGGATGATATTTTTATTGATTTTATAGAAGGTTTACCCTCCTTTAATGGGAAAAGTTCTATTTTTGTTATGGTTTACCGCTTAAGCAAATCCACCCATTTTATCGCCTAAGCCCATCCATTTACCGCTAAAACAGTGGTTGAAAAGTTTGTGGAGAATGTAGTAAAGCTCCATGGCATGCCCAGATCCATAGTTAGTGATGGAGACCCGGTCTTCATTAACCACTTTTGGTAAGATTTTTTTAAGATGTTTGGCACCCAGCTCAAAATGAGCTCCTCTTATCATTCACAGACAGATGGATAATCCGAAGTTGTGAACCAAAGTGTCGAATAATATCTCCATTTTTTATGGCATCAACAACCTCACAAATGGAGCTCCCTCCTACCATGAACAGAATTTTGGTATAACATAAATTACCATGCATCCATTAAGATGACACCTTTCTAGGCTTTATATGAGCAGTTGCTACCAACCATTCATTGCTATGAAGACGGCTTCACTCTTATTGACGAGATTGACCTGTAGCTACACACTAGGGATGCACTCCTACAATAACTTAGAAACTAATTTGCAAGCAGCAAACCACAGAATGGAACAAATAGTTAATGCTAAATAAAGAGAAATTGAATTTCAAGAAGGCAACTGGGTATTTCTTAAACTCCAACCATATAGACAACA